TTTTTATTATAGAAAGGTCAGTGGGAGCTGAGGGTCTTTGCCTCAACATAGTTGACCCCACCTCAGAGGACACCCAGCTTGATGGACTCTGCCTATCTTAGGTCATCCTGACCATCAGGATCTTACCCGTCATTGACTACCAGCCCTCGAAGGGTGTGACCTCTGGGATGACCATGTGAGGGAGGAGGAGGGCAAGAAATTACACAGCCGCTTCTTGGATGTCAGGAAGCCAGACCTGTCGGACTTTGGGGGGGGGTGTTGAAGTCTGGATCCTTGAGTGTTTTGAGAACCTGATACACCGAGTAATTTACTTGGTTTTGTCTGTGGAAGTGTAAACAAGGCATTTTATGAGCAAGAAAAGAATCGGGAGTGCACTGGGTCCATGGAGGACACCTGACCCCTCGGGAGGGGAGGGGTGGAGGCCCTGTAGGACACTGTAGTCTCTGAACTGTCTTTTACTAAGGGAGACCAGATTTTGAGGCCCCATAAGGAGCCCTGGCTTCGGTTTCTACAAAAGTCACCTGTTGTGATGTTAAAGAGGGAGTGACAGTGAGAGACATTAGGGGAGGATGGGTTAAGAACTTGGTTGAAGCAGAGCGATCCTGCAAGGGACCATGTGCCATTTATGGGCGGACACATGAACCAATTCCATCGTGGGGAGACCGAGGGATTCATTAGTAGTAAAGAGAACTGGGAAAGCGGGTGACTGTTCATCTACAGGGAGGATCAGAGGTGGTAAGGGGACCAATGCCAAGAGATCCAAAGCCTGGGAAGAAGCACAGCCAAAGGACAAAAGGGTGTCAAGGATAATGAAACCGGAAAAGGATGTCATGGCTTATCAAACTCGCAGTTGTGCCTGGTCTCTAGATGGGTTTCCATAGCTGGCCGGATGTCTCTCGATGGAATCCAGATGGGGGTTGTAGCGTCCTGTGGAAAAATACAGGCGTATCCTCATCCTCATGTCAGGACGGGGTCTGGTTTCTGCCACAGGGATGAAATTGGATCTCTCCACCTAACTAGTGGCAGGGGAATAGCCCGAGGCAAGCAGGACCGATGTTTGTATGCTGGACTGAGATCCCCATCATCAAACATGAGGAAATTAAGGTGGAACAAAGCCTCAGTAAAAGCCAGGTGAGGGTCACGTTTGGCCTCAGCCGAGGGGCTTTTAGCCAGGAGGGACTTAAGTGTCCTTTTGGTCCTTTTGACAATGGCTTGTCCTTGTGGGTTATAGGGAATACCAAAGGTATGTTTGATTCCCCAGGAGGAAACAAATTTATTGAATTCTTGGGAGGAATAAGCGGGCCCATTATCAGTCTTAAGTGCCCAGGGTATGCCCATGATTAACATAGCAGACTTTATAGCTTTAATGGCATGTATAGTCTTTTCCCCTGAGAACACTAAAGCATAAGTAAGGGAAGAGCATGTGTCAACTATAACATGAATGAATCTCAATTTCCCAAAAAGGGGGGTAGTGAGTCACATCCATGTATGGTCTTTTCCCCTGAGAGAGCTAAAGCATAAATAAGGGAGGAGCATGTGTCAACTATAATATGAACGAATCTCAATAGTATCAAACCATGGGGATTCACTCCTCCCCAGTTAAGGGGCCCGAGAGACATAAGCAGGGCACAGGTTGCACATGAACAGACAAGGTGTTTGCATTGGGACACGGGGATTTCTGGAAGGAGTTTATGAATACTCTGAGGGGACAGGTGGAATTGTTGATGTAAAGCTCTTGCTTGTTCTAACAGGCTAGAGTGGACTGTCTTGATCAGGGCATCTGTGATGGCATTCCCTGAGCTAGGATAACAGGAAGTGTGGTATGTGAGTGGATTTTTGAGTGGAGAACTTGCTCAAAATACGGGCAGTCAGAGCCTGATTCGTTGGTGGCTTTGTGGATGAGTGCAAGGTCTGTGAGAGGGGTGGGCACCCATGGCTGTTGTGTAGCATTGGGCCAACATTAACCGGAAAGGCAGACATGGGCTGGCAAGGGGCAATAAGGGGTGGGCGGGCTATGTAGAAGGTGAAGGGCAGGCCTAGCAGAAAGAGCTACAGGTAGATGTGCAGCCATGAAGGTGGCCCGGTGCGGGTTGTAGTACTAGTAGTCACTGCTCAGTGCGGCCTACACCCCCTGCTGGAGGATCTGCAGAGTCTCCTACCCCATCCCCTCCAGGTGCAGCCTCCACCACCACCGCTTTCCAAGCCCAGCCCCAGCTCGGCCTTACTGGCACTGCTGCGGCCCATCTATCCCCCCCCCCAAGCTCTGGGAGAGCGGCCTGGCGCCCCAGTGGTCCCTGCTGCTACCGGAGGAGGAGGTGGCGAGCCGGGGGGAGGAGGAGAAAGAAAGCGAGCTGGGAGGCTTTAAGGCTGGCAATAATGCCTGGAGGCTACAGAGGGGAAAGGGGAGCACAGTAGCATCAGGTTCTCTACTGAAGTGTTTTTGAGCTCGCCACAAAATTCAAAGGCAAGGGTGAGTACCAAGAGGCACAAAGGAAGCAAACAAGGACCGTGTTCCACTCGGACATAAACTGCCCCAACATGAAAAGGTGTATCAGATCCAAATGTCTTGTGCTTAGTGAGGGACTTCTGAAGGCCGGGACCCCTTCAGCCGTATGCTCACACGGTGTCTCCGGAACAGGCAACAGGATGACCCGAAGCCTGGGCTCTGAGTTCGCGGTGGATCAGCCCTTATGTGAACTCACCAGGACGAACCAAGAAGGGAAAGGTGCCAACGTGGGCTTTGGAACCACGCGGCAGAGTGTGCCTTCCTGATTTAACAACAAATATGACAAACAGGGTGGAGGGGACAGAGGAGGGGGCCACTTGCTTACTCTCAAGCAGCCAAATGGACAGAAAAAACCCGGGGCCTACTCACCAAATGAACTGAAGTTGGGGGTTGTCCCCAACGTCGGGGGGGCTGGGAACCTTGTTTGTGGGGGTCCTTCCCCACATGCAGCACTATGGGGGCCAAGGAGGGGGAGTGCGCTGCCCAACCCTCTGTTTCCTAGGAACCACCAAGGAGGCAGGGAGTCTTGTCAAGCAGGAGCTCGTTTATTAAGCTTTAGGCAAGTGCTTATATACATTTGTGAGCATTGAGGGTCCCTCCCTTTACTCCACCCGGGGTTTGATTGGTCATGATCACAGGACTTAATTAGCATTTTAGGTTTCAATTTCCCAGAGCTGTCAGGTTCCAATCTCTCCATGACAAAATTTCTATTTCACAGAA